AATTGCGGTGTCTGAAAAGCCTATTGTTGACGAAATCACGGAAGACAAAACACCAAGCCCTGTCGATAACGCCGAAAAACCAGAACCACTTACCGTGTCTGAAAAGCCCACTGTTGATGATCTTGTGAAGGAGAAAACACGAAGTCCAACGGACAAGGAGGTTAAGGCCGAAAAACTGGAATCACTTACAGTGTCTGAAAAGACCACTGTAGAAGAAATCACGAAAGACAAAACTCCAAGCCCTGTGGAAAAGGCCGAAAAAGCCGAACAACTTGCGGTGTCTGAAAAGACCACTGTAGAAGAAATCTCGAAAGACAACACCCCAAGTCCTGTCGATAAGGCCGAAAAACCGGAACCTCTTACTGTGTCTGAAAAGCCCACTGTTGATGAACTTATCAAGGAGAAAACACCAAGCCCGACGGACAAGGAGGTTAAGGCCGAAAAACCTGAACCACTTACGATTTCTGAAAAGACTACTGTAGAAGAAATCAAGAAAGACAAAACTCCAAAACCTGTGGAAAAGGCCGAAAAAGCCGAACAACTTGCGGTGTCTGAAACTACCACTGTAAAAGAAATCTCGAAAGACAAAACCCCAAGTCCTGTCGATAAGGCCGAAAAACCCGAACTACTTACTGTGTCTGAAAAGCCCATTGTTGACGAAATCTCGAAAGACAAAACCCTAAGACCTGTCGATAAAACCGAAACATCAAAACCACTAACTGTGTCTGAAAAGCCCATTGTTGACGAAATCACGAAAGACAAAACACTAAGCCCTGTCGATCAGGCCGAAAAACCAGAACAATTAACTGTGTCTAAAAAGCCCACTGTTGATGAACTTGTCAAAGAGAAAACGCCAAGTCCGAAGGACAAAGAATTTAAGGCCGAAAAAACTGAACAGCTAACTTTGTCTGAAAAGCCCACTGTAGAAAAAATCACGAAAGACAAAACACCAAGCCCTGTCGATAAGGCCGAAAAACCGGAACCACTCTCTGAAAAGCTCACAGTAGAACAAATCACGAAAGACAAAACACCAAGACCTGTCGATAAGGCCGAAAAACCAGAACCACTTACGTTGTCTGAAAAGCCCACTGTAGAAAAAATCACGAAAGACAAAACACCAAGCCCTGTCGATAAGGCCGAAAAACCAGAACCACTCACTGAGTCTGAAAAGCCCACTGTTGATGAACTTGTCAAAGAGAAAACGCCAAGTCCGACGAACAAAGAATTTAAGGCCGAAAAAACGGAACAGCTAACTTTGTCTGAAAAGCCTACTGTAGAAAAAATCACGAAAGACAAAACACCAAGTCCTGTCGATAAGGCCGAAAAACCCGAACTACTTACTGTGTCTGAAAAGCCCATTGTTGACGAAATCTCGAAAGACAAAACCCTAAGACCTGTCGATAAAACCGAAACATCAAAACCACTGACTGTGTCTGAAAAGCCCATTGTTGACGAAATCACGAAAGACAAAACACCAAGCCCTGTCGATAAGGCCGAAAAACCGGAACCACTTACTGTGTCTGAAAAGCTCACAGTAGAAGAAATCACAAAACACAAAACACCAAGCCGTGTCGATAAGGCCGAAAAACCAGAACCACTTACCATATCTGAAAAGCCCACTATTCATGATCTTGTGAAGGAGAAAGACAAGGAGGTTAAGACCGACAAACCGGATCAACTTACTGTGTCTGAAAAGCCTACTGTAAAAGAAATCGCGAAAGACAAAACCCCGAGCTTTGTCGATAAGGCCGAAAAACCAGAACCACTTACCGTGTCTGAAAAGCCCACTGTTGATGATCTTGTGAAGGAAAAAACACCAAGTCCGACGGACAAGGAGGTTAAGGTCGAAAAACCGGATCAGCTTACTTTGTCTGAAAAGCCCACTGTAGAAGAAATCACGATAGACAAAACACCAAGCCCTGTCGATAAGGCCGAAAAACCAGAACCACTTACGGTGTCTGAAAAGCCCACTGTTGATGAACTTGTCAAGGAAAAAACACCAAGTCCGACGGACAAGGAAGTTAAGGCCGAGAAACCGGAACAGCTAACTTTGTCTGAAAAGCCCTCTGTAGAAGAAATCACGAAAGACAAAACACCAAGCCCTGTCGATAAGACCGAAAAACCAGAACCACTTACGGTGTCTGAAAAGCCCACTGTTGATGAACTTGTCAAGGAAAAAACACCAAGTCCGATGGACAAGGAAGTTAAGGCCGAAAAACCGGAACAGCTAACTTTGTCTGAAAAGCCCTCTGTAGAAGAAATCACGAAAGACAAAACACCAAGCCCTGTCGATAAGGCCGAAAAACTAGAACCACTTACGGTGTCTGAAAAGCCCACTGTAGAAGAAATCACAAAAGATAAAACCCCAAGCCCTGTTGACAAAACCGAAAAACCAGAACCACTAACTGTGTCTGAAAAGCCCATTGTTGACGAAATCACAAAGGACAAAACACCAAGCCCTGTTGATAAGGCCGAAAAACCAGAACCATTTGCGGTATCTGAAAAGTCCACTGTTGATAAACTTGTTAAGGAGAAAACACCAAGCCCGAAGGACAAGGAGGTTAAGACCGAAAAACCGGAACCACTCTCTGAAAAGCTCACTGTAGAAGAAATCTCGAAAGACAAAACTGCAAGTCTTGTCGATAAGGCCGAAAAACCAGAAACACTTACTGTATCTGAAAAGCCCACTGTAGAAGAAATCACAAAAGACAAAACACCAAGCCCTGTCGATAAGGCCGAAAAACCCGAACTACTTACTGTGTCTGAAAAGCCCATTGTTGACGAAATCTCGAAAGACAAAACCCTAAGACCTGTCGATAAAACCGAAAAATCAGAACCACTTGCGGTGTCTGAAAAGACCACAGTTGATAAACTTGTCAAGGAGAAAACACCAAGTCCGACGGACAAGGAGGTTAAGACCGAAAAACCGGAACCACTCTCTGAAAAGCTCACTGTAGAAGAAATCTCGAAAGACAAAACTCCAAGTCCTGTCGATAAGGCCGAAAAACCAGGAACACTTACGTTGTCTGAAAAGCCCACTGTTGATGAACTTGTCAAAGAGAAAACACCAAGTCCGACGGACAAGGAGGTTAAGACCGAAAAACCGGAACCACTCTCTGAAAAGCTCACAGTAGAAGAA